GGGGGTCCCTGAATGAGCAAACAGCGATGATAGGAGTGCCACCGCGTACCTGGGGCCTCCATGCTGCACCTATGGGTAAACACACAAGGTCTTGTTCATCTCCGTGTCCTGTGCCTGCCACATTACCTGGTACTTGCAGGGGCTTCATAAATACCAGCTGAACAAGGAAGGAAGGGGGGAAGGGGGCAGAGAGTCACAGTAGGCATTGCCTGAACTGCATTAATTACATCTGCACCCTCTGAAGCACTCGCCAGGTGCCACTATTTTGCTTGCTCCTGCTAAAGCAGAACATCCTTTGCTTTTCCCCCCTCCCCAAGAGAAGCTTTTTGCTGCAGGAACAGCCAGTTCAATTTATTTTTATAGGCCAAGCACAAGGGCCATGGAAGCTTCCCCAGAGCCCAAGGAACAAGGAAGCATTACTTTGTCAGCCTCTTCATTGCAAAGGCAAACAAAGATATTTTCAGGATGATTAAGCCATAAAGTTCCTATGTATCCCTGTGTGCACAGGCACAAAATGAAACTCATACCCGGAACCCCGGCCACGTTTCCCAACCCCCCACCCTCTTCCCAGGAGTCAGGCGAGAGCAGAGTGTTTGCTAAAGGTCTCAAAGCCCAGCTCCATGCCAGGTGCTGGGGGAGTTTCCTAACACTGAAAAGATGGCAGAGGTGTGGGAGGCCGAACGATGCACACACACCCCAAAAAATGCCTAAGTCCTACACCCTAGAACCTATGAGCATGTTACATTACATGGCAAAGGGGAATAAAGGTTGTAGATGGAATTAATGTTGTTAATTAGCTGGCCTTAAAATAAGGAGATTGTCCCAGATTATCTGGGTGGTCCAGGGTAACCACAGGGGGCCTTAAAAGTGGAAGAGGGGGGCAGAAAACTCAGAGTCAAAGATGTAAGAAGGACTCAACCTGCCACTGGTGGCTCTGCAGGTGGAGGAAGGGAACATGTGCCAAGGAATGCAGGTGGCTCCAGGAAAAGGCAAGGAAACAGTCTCCCCTGGAGGCTCCAGAGGGGATGCAGCCCTGCCATGTCAAACTTCTAAACTGCAGAACTGGAAGATAATAAGTGTGTTGTTTTAAGTTATGTTTATGTTGATCTGCTACAGCATCCATGCGATACCAAGAGAGTTGGGAATTAACTAGCATGGCTCGGAATCTAAGTGTCCTGGCCTCCAATTCCAGCTCTGCCATTAATTACCAGCATGACCTTGGACTACTCCAAGGAGCCTCAGGTTCCTCATCTGTAAAATGAGTGTAAAAGACTCTACCCAGAGATTTATTGGATGGGTTTACTGAGTTAATGTACATAAAGCATTTAATAGACGATCAACCGCATATGAAGTGTTCAATAAGTAACAAAAGACAGATGTCAAAGCAGCAGAATACAATTAGTGAACGACACATAAGCTAGGAGGTATCAATCTCCCTTGTGAATGAAGCCGGGAATCAGAGGGCTCAGGCTTTGCCACTCACAGCGGGATCAGGCCAAGTCATCTAACTCTCTGACTACCCACTCACTGCCCCGAAGTAGCTGGAGTTAAATGAGACCTGAGCAACAGAGCTCAGAGCCAGCACCCACTCACCTCCCTCAACCCTCAGCCTCAGGCACCCTGTACTCAGTAAGCCCCTCCCCGCTCAGAGCTCTCTGAGCATCCAGGGGGAGGTGTGTGAAAGGACTGGTAATCTCCAAGTGCCATACAAATATTGGCTCTTAGTGCCCTCCTCTCGCCTCCCAGACTCTCTCAAAACACAGCTTGCTTCCAGAAACACAACCCACGGGGATTAGATAGGAAAGACAGAGAGGATTTAATCACACACGTGATTTCATTTCTTTTAGTCACTGGGCACATGGGCCAGCATGATGTCAAGGTTGGAGCAATTCGTTGAAGCGGGTAAAAGAGAAAACTCTGACTTGGGATCCTCCTGCCTGCACAGCCCTTCTGGAGGGAGCGTGGCTGGGGTCTCTGGACATCTCACCTTCCTCTGGTGCCTCTCGAAGATGAGCATGAGAGTCAGGGTCAGGCTCAACGCCGCCAGGGTCACGAGCAGCACGCCCACCCAGTGGTTCCCCAGGGCAAACATCTGGCTGGTGGAGTAGATGTTGGCCCAGACCACCACATAGAAAACCTGCAGGGGGCAGGGGCAAGAGCAACGTCAGGAACGCCAGTCCTCGGGAAGCAGCCCACTCAGGGGACACCCTTGGACACTTATGACACCTCCTTGGATTCACAGAGCTCACAGGGCCTATAAGACTGATGGGGGCCTGTGAGAATGAGCCTTTGTTCCTTTATAAGTGAAGGTAAGAAAATGGGGTTAAAATAGTTACTCCAAATGCCTGCTTGCCCTGATTTTAAACAAAACAGAAAAGGGCAGGGGGCTTGGGAGGGAGAGAAATTTGAGTCATAAACCCACACTGATCCTTCAATAGGTATGTGGCCTGGACAGGTCATAACAACTCTCTGAGCCTGTTTCCTCATCTGTAAAATGGGGATGATTTTCACAGGATTGATTGATATAGGAATTAATAAGATAACATATGTAATAGCCTAGCACTTATTAGGAAACTAATAAAAGTCAGTTGCTGTCCCTTTCCCTTCCGGAGAAGTGGGACGCAGGGGTTGGGAGTGCTATCTGACCATTTATCCACAGAGGAGCAACGAGTCACAGTGGTTAAGAGTGGTTGAACCAGACTGCCTGCGTTCAAATATTGGCTCTATCATATATATGTATGCATGTGTGTATGTACATATAGATATATATGTATATTTATATGTATCTGTATACATACGTGTGTGTACACGCTTAGAGCTAAAATGGACCCATGTGTTAGGAAACCAAGTCCCAGAGAGGAGGAAAGTCTTGATCAAAGCCAGACACTGAGTCCAGAGCCTCAGTGGTGCGTCTGGAGATCCCCAATCCCAAGCTCTGCGTTCAGTAAACCCTGCCTCCCATCCTTTTCATGGGAACCCGGGCACAACTCCCCACCATAATCCAGGTCCATGTGTACTGCCCTCTGCCAGGCAGCTGGGCCACCAGCCCCCTAACCCCTTACCCATACCAACAGGCTTGGCACAGGAAGCTGAATCCAGCAGTGCCACAGCGGGCTATAGCAGGGCAGGTGGGGCCCATCTCCCTCCTCACCACAGCGAAGGCCAGCCGCATGGGCCTGGAGTTATAGATGATGTATCTTCTCACTTGGGGCTCCAAGAGGGCACTCTCAGCCAAACTCCTGTACTGGTCAACTGGGACCTGCTTGGCCACCCAAGGGAAAGAGATCAATCAGCCTCAGAGAAAGCCACCCCACCTCCTTCCTGCCAGCTAGTATGTCACTGCCAGTTCACATGACTATCATGTGGAAGGGGAATCCATACGGCACACTCTGGGCTGGACCAGAAGGCAGAAAGAGGAGCTCAGAGCACTGATGGCAGTCACAGGGCACAGCTCCCTACTCAGGGAAGGTCAGGCATCATGGGTGAGATGCGACAGCTTGAGAGCCAGGAGGACATTCCACAGAGGGAGCCCTGCAGCTCAAGTACCTCATGGCAGACCCAGGATAGCCTAATGGTTAAGGCACAGGCCTGGGAGTCAGCCCGCCCTGGGTCCAAACCTTAGCCCTGCCACTCATGTGCTGTGTAACCTGAAGAAAGTAACTCCACTTCTCTGAGCCTCAGACTCTTCCTCTGTAAAACAAAGATAGTAAGAGTTCCCACCTTGTAGGGGCGGTGAGCATATTAAATAAGATAATACTTAAATATGCATTATACAGTAAGTATATGTATACTATGTATACACATATCATTTGGACATCTTTGGGGGCCATTGTTCTGCCTACCCGTTGGTTTTGTCTTCCTTGGGTAGATATGTGTATCTAAGTATGTGTATACTGGCCCAGTGCTGGTTCCATGGTGAACACTTGATGCACAAGCGCAATTGTCAATACTGCAATATCAGCAACTATTAATACAGCCCAAAGTACTCAAACTCACATCTTCCTGCCCAAAGAAAACCACCACAGTGCAAAAGGCCTGACAAAAGTGGACCGCTTAAGAAAACAGAATTTAACCATGAAAGGTGCTATTTAGGGAAACAGCAGAACAGTGTGTAAACCGTTCCTGGGTGAAGAAAACTCCATCTAAAGATAACTGTTTAAGAAAAATGTTCTAAATGAAGGCTGGAAGGAAACATGGAAGATAAGCCAGCTGTTGTGCTAATGTGAGCTTAGCACTATCAATTTGGAAAGTTTCCCTTTAGTGGTGATAAAATGTTGTTGGAAACAATAATGCAAGCAGTTTAAAGAAGCAAACTCTAAAATCTGCAGGGTAAAATTAGCAGTGGTCTTCCCCTCCATCGCTGGTCCTCCCTGGGAAGTTCAGGGCAAGGGGAAGAAAATCATGTTGGGGAAGGAACCCGCAGCTGTGGGTTCTGAATGACAAGAGCAACAGCTACTATTTATTGAGTATCTCCTATGTGCCAGAGGCAGTGCACGTGTTCTTCAGGCATTATTTCACTTAACCTTCACAGAAACCCTATGTAACAGGTATTAATAGTGCCCTCAGGATGATGGCACTGTGGCCCAGAGAGGTTAAGTCACCCGCCTCAAGGCACACAGGCAGTGAGGAGAGCTAGATCTGCATCCAGATCTATGGATCTGTGACGCCTAGGCCTCGAATCACTGTCTCCACGGTNCGCCTAGGCTTCGAATCACTGTCTCCACGGTCCTGCATGATCAGCGAGTGAATCCATGAAACCTTTCCTCTCCTAAAATGCTCTTCCCTCTGTCTACCCAGCAAACTCCTATTTTTCGTCAAGATCCCAGATCAAGTGTCTGCTCCTCTGTGAGGCTTTCATAACCACTGCCCATGCCCCAGGCAGGTTTCTCATTTTCTCCCGTGAAGGTCTCCATGCCTCAAACATTAATATCATACTGTTTCATCCCACATAGGTCCGTCTCCCCACTGGGCTCTGGCAGCAGTGCAAGTACTGGCCCTGGAGCCTGTTCACCTCTGCAGTGTTTAGTGTCCGGCTAAGTGCCTGGCACAGAGCGGGCTTCCAAAACGCACATCTGTTAAGTGAAATAATAGGGGAGAGAGGGTTCTAATGCATCTTCCTTCTCCCCTTACCATATCAAGCATACGATAAGTGTTTAATAAATATTCTGTGAATACCTGGATGAGATCGATGGAGAGACACATGGGTAGATGGATGTAAGGAAAAACGGGAAGGACTTAAAAAAATCAGCACTCACCTGAATGCCCCAGGTCTGCAGCTGCTCCTCTGCGGCTCCCAGATCAAAGGCGATGGGTGCACAAGTGTTGTCAATCCGGAGAACCGTGAGGACCTGGCCGTTGCGGAGCTCTGAAAGCACAGAAGCTTCACCTGGCTGGGCGGTAACTACTACTTTGTATGAGCCAGAAACTCCTCATTGCAAAGAGGGACAGCTGGCTGTCCTCAAATCCCTACAGAAGAAAAACTGGAGTTGACAGGAAAGCGCCCAGGAGGCAGAAATGAGCCCAGATCTAGGACAGGGATAAATACAGTACATGTCTGCTTCAATTAGCAGATGCTGCAGATCTACAGTGTGTAAAACAGACAACCGAAAATCAGCTTTTACAGGTCTCTGTCTCGTATAAAACAGTAGGTAACTTGCCCTGGCTGGTGTGGCTCAGTTGGTTGAGCATCATCCCGTGCACCAAAAGGTCCCTGGTTCAGTTCCAGGTCAGGGCACAGGCCTAGGTTGCCGGCTTGATCCCCAGTAGGGGGCATGCAGGAGGCAGCCAATTGATGTTTCTCTCTCTCCCTCTCCCTTCTCCTCCTCTCTCTAAACTCAATAAAAAAATAAAATAAAAAACAACACATCAGTAACTTCCTAGGTTTCACTCTTCTCTGTACTAGAGCCAGAAATTGAGTGTAATGCCTCACTTAATATTCCTTTGACTTAACACTGGTTTCTGAAAGAATCTTTGCTCCCTAGAATCTACAGTCTCCATTTCATGGCAACACTGGATAATGGCTTTATGAAACTGAAAAAAAATTTGGAACAACTATAAACAGAAATGCCAAATAATTGATGGTTACTGTTGCTGCTTCAAATAAGCATAAAATTAATGCCAAGAAAGCCCATTCTTTCATGTCAAATACTTGGGGTGGGGGAGGGGAGAAGGGGAACCTTTTCTTAAAGTGAAAATAATTACTGCTATTTTAAAATCTCTTGATGATTGAATGTGAGGCCCTCCTGACATGATTTGAGAAGCTCTACAAGTACAGGCAGTTACTTTCCTGTTTACATTTTTTTGGTTTTGGGGAAAGGCAGGTGTCTAATTACTGTTATCTTCCTTGTTATACTGCAGTAACAGCTTTAAAACCACCACTGCATGTTTGCTTTTGCTGCATCCCTGTGTGGAATTAACACTTCAGGCCCATGGAGAAACGCAGCACTCACACTCCCTCTCTCGTTCCTTCCCTCAGCAGAAACATGCTCAGTGCCAAGTCGTGAGTTCAAACTGCTTCCTTTTTTAAAACCCACAAAATCCTGATTCAGTTCAAAATGAATGCAAATGTTTCAAAACTGGTTTTCTGGTATTTGTATATGTTTTTCCTTATTAGATAAGAATGTATGACCATTAAGTTGCTTTCGAAAAGAGAAGGTAGACAGAACTAGAATCCAGCATCTTTCACTGCACTGACGAAATCTTTTGGAAGGGTTGGGAGATGTGGCAGAAGTACTTTGGAAAACATACAATCAAGATATCTCATGGCATATTAAAAGAAAAATCTTAAAAAGTAAATAAATAAAGATTTCTTTGGGTGCCACATAGAGAATGGATAGAAGAGGCAAGATGGAGACAAGATCAGCTAGGAAGCTACAGCAGGAATCCAAGCAGAGGGTGATCGAAGGAGGTGGTGACAGAAAGAATGGGTAGAAGTGACAGACACTGGCCTAGAAACAAATCCCAAAATGCCCACCCTTATCTAAAGGCACTTCTGTGCCCCTCCACTCCCCTCCCTCCAACTCAGGATCCTGGGGGGAGTAGCAGGGAAAGGAATTCAAGGTCATGACCTTACCTTGCCCCCAGCCAGGAGGGCTCCCCACAGGCAGGGCACTCCAGCCAGGAGAGGTGGGCAAGGGGCCAGCCGCCCCACCAGGGCCCATCTGAGGTTCACAGGCCATAGCAGAGAACCAGCTGGGTAGCTACTTCCCCTTCTCAGGGCTATGGTTCATTCTGGAACAGCCAGCTCAGCTTCACTTGCCTTCAGAAAACAGCAAAGAAAGAACTTCAGGCCTGGACCTGAGCAGGTTGGGCTTCCCAGACTCTCCCAGGCCAAAGTCACCACAAGGCCAGGGAGAGCCAACTGGAGTCTTTCCACCGACTTTGGTCTTTCTGGTCATGTGAAGGAACGTTCTCAGAGGGAATGAGGAGGAACTAAAAGCCTTCCAGACCTCGACTGAGAGCTTCCCTTCTGGTCTTGGGTCTTTTCCAGCTCAGACACAGCCAGGGGCCCACATGGAACCCAGGAGCTCCCAGGGCCCTACTCCCAGGCATGTGGGGTTTCCATTCCCTTACTAAGGGCAGGACAGGTACATTCATCACGGGGAGACTTGTTTATACAAAGGATCTCAAATAGTTTCCCAGAGACATTGCAAAATACAAATGAGAAAGAAATTCAGGATAGTAAGAAAGATAAATTTTAACAAGTGATAACTATGAAGAATAAAAATACCCAGCTACTCCTTACAACACCTTTAAAAAGATAAAGTAGTGGGTCGATGGAGATTGCATTTTCCCAGGTGTGATCTAGCAACAGATTCTAGTCTGCACCTGAGATGCTGTACTCTGGAAGGGCAGGGACCATCGCCCCCTCACCTAGCGCAAGGCCCGGCCCACTAGCAGGTACTCCCAAACGTTGTTGAACATTTGCCAGTCAGTGGTATCACCCCTTCCTTCCCCTTATCTTGTACCCCCAAGAGGCAGAAAGCAACAACCACCCAAGGATGTCTACCCTGCACTTGGCAATCACTGAAGCCCTTTCCTGCCACATCTGCTCACCTCCTAGGCCACCAGGAAAATATAGTCCTTAGATCCATTTTCCATTGAAGGCTGTTTAGTGCAATGGCTAAAAGTAACCTAAACAGTGCTGCAACTTCCCACCTGTGTGACTGGAACAAGTCAGTTAACTTCTCTCTGCCTAGTTTGTACATGTAAATGGAGATAATAACAGTAACTCAGTTATTGTGAGGCTTAAAGGATCCATCCAGGTAAATCACTCAAAGCAGGGCTGGGCAAGCAGGAATCACTGAAGGAATATAGCTGTTGTTATTTTTACTCCAGAGATATTCCCTAAGAAACAGGGCCAGGCACCATGCTTTCTCCACTATAAAACCAGAAATAAAATTCTTCAGTCCCTCTTTAGCCCTCCCTTCTGGGGATCACCACCTGATGGGAAAGACAAACTCAGAGAAAGACGGATAAGAAACAGACTATGACCAAACAAGGCAGCCAGAGGGAGTGGGCAGCACCTTGGGGCGGTGGAAGGGCTTGGCAAAGATGGAGGTTAGAGAGGGCCTGCCAAGAAGGGGAGAGGTACAGACCAGCGGCCAGGATGGACCTCATCCAGGCAGCCTCTGCACTCACCCACAGCCCACTGTCCAACCTAGAGGCTGCAAAGGGCAGGAGGGGTGTTGGCAAGACTGGCCAAGGGCAGACACTGACCCATTACCTATCAGTGTGCTGAGCTCGGGATCCCACCCAGGGCTGCACCAGTTCTATGGGGAACAAGGGAGGAAGAGACAAACACCTGGGTGGAGGCAGAGCCAGGGGTGAGCACAGTCCTGGGGCTCCTGCAAGGAACTGGTCATCCACTCCCCAGCTTCTCCAGGTTTCCTTAGTTGCCTTTGCTGACTCTGCATTTAACCAGAACTTCAGTTATCCATCCTTTTAAGCTAGGTGGCAAGTCCTTCCAAAGGCAGATGTCCTTAAGTCCTGCTGAGCAAAGGTCTCCATCTCTGCAAATATTGAGTGCCCAGCCTCCCTCCCCAGGAACCAGATGCCTCACTGAGGCTTGGGGGAGGGGG